CAACCAAAGCTGATTATTTGGTTCTATCCGTCCGCAGCTGATTATTTGCTACCTACCAGAATAGTCTCAGAGAATAAATGCCCTGAATTGTACATCGGGTGGCTCCCAAAAGTCATAGGAGGGCTAAATACTCATAAAACCATCACTATGATCAAGAATAAAAGTCGAAGGCGATGGCACATTCCTCAAACGGTATTTTCAATACCAAGAACGCTATCTTTAATCATGACAGAGTTGCCCTCGGCCCATAAGAAAGGGGGAGTATTTGAAAGTCCGCTGGAACAAATGAGAAAGTAAGATCAGAAGAAAAAAACAATTGCGGACTCTTCTCGAATCCTGGTAAGATTAGCCGACTTCCTCGGTTCGGATGCATTGCGTATGATTGTCATTGGAGTCGCGCTTCGGTGGAGAGCACGAGTAAAATACGAATTCATTCCATCAAGTCGTCACATATGGAAAGATGAAAGGAAAACTTTTACCATACGAGCAAGAACATCGGATGGTTCTCAAGAAAGGATGTATCCGTCTGTTGCGGAGCGCAGCGCAGCTAATTGAGGTAACTGTATAAGTTATGGAGAAAAAATTGGCATACTGGAAGCCAAAAATCAGTACTTGTCTTATTTTATCTTCATTTATAATCTTCTCAATCAAAAAGACTCTCTATGGAAACACAACTGTGGATGCTCCCTCTATGCGTTTCTTTTCATTGCGCATGTGTTTTATACGCGCATTGTGAAATACAACCAAGGCTGTGATCCAAAATGTAGCTTTTTCAATAAATCCTGATGGATAACAATTTGCACCTTTGTTGACTATGTCTAGTATGAGCACTAAAATTCAACGTTAAACCGGATCGCTTCGAGTGGAAGGTTCCTTCACTATGTTTCTTTCACGGGGGCTAAACAAGAGTTGGTCGTAAGAATCGTTTCACTCAACTCACTCTCGTTTAAGCGAAAAAGCCTACCACGAGCAGCTGACTGTTTCGGAAATCACCAACGCTTGCTTTGAGCCTGGATGCCAAATGGTGAAATGTGATCCACGCAACGGAAAGTACATGGCGTGTTGTTTGCTGTTTAGAGGAGACGTCGTACCTAAGGTGAGTCGGATCCGCTTCTTATAGAACGATGCTTATTGCGAATTCTATGCTTGCCCTTTGCTTTTCAGGATATCAACTCGGCTATTGCCGTTATCAAGACGAAACGGGCGATTCAGTTTGTGGACTGGTACGTGTGTGTGAAATACTCGTGCTGGGAATAATGAGTTAGCTTCGATTCTTATATTCTAGGTGTCCTACAGGCTTTAAGGTAGGTATCAACTACCAGCCACCGACAGTAGTACCGAACGGTGATCTCGCCAAATTGCAGCGGGCTGTTTGCATGCTGTCCAACACCACGGCTATTCAGGTGGGACAATAAATTGTAATCTGTTGATTGCACTGCTGTGTACTTACCATCTAGTTTCAAGCAAAATAAAGAGCAGTAGAACTTTAACAACATCCTGGATATACACAAGAAAGACTGTAGACCGGAAAACTGAAAGAGTTGATTCTGGCCGCTACGCTGTTGGTGTGCTCGTATAA